CACATCTTTAAGAGACATCTCTCTCTAAGTCGTCTCTCGTGATTGATAGGAATTGATAGGGGGGAAATGCTTTATCCTCCCGATAGACACATATATTCCCAACCCACCCACCAGCACCCAGAATGCAGTAATTACCTGCAACATTGATTTTGTATGAGGGAGCTCTTCTCCTTGGTAGATCTTAATATAGGCCTGGCAGAAAAACAAGTTAAAAAAACCTCCAAGTGATATATGGAACTTCATTTAAAATTTGCCCATAAAATATTATATCAAAAGTGTTTCTAAGTTCCTAGTAGAGTCACAATATTAATTAACCATATTAATCATATAACGTCTGCTATGTCATAGATGCTATGCCTTTAATGGTGATTCCAAATATAACTTTAAAGTGCTGTCCTTGGTTTTTTTAAGCTATTGAATGGGAAAGCTGTGACTTCTACAGATGATTTAAGTGCAACTCATAGCAGTTCTAATTACTAGCTATGCTACTAGAGATGGTAAAATTCTACTTCAGGCACATCTGACGGAGTTTAAGCTCTAAACTGTTTCTGGAGAAATCTGTTCCCACAGAGCCCCAGCTCAGCTCCACCATGCATGCACCACGGGCCAGCTGATTTTCGGGTCTCTGCTGTACATGTGGGCGGAAGGAAAATATGCATGCATGCACATGGGGTTGGGGGTACACCGCACCCCCCATGCCCCATTTCTGGTCCCAGGAGGCTTCAGGGAGGCCTGCTAGGCCCAAAACAGAGTGCAGGGGGGTGGGGAGAAGCATGGGGGGGGGTCATGTACACATGTGTAGGGGGCGGAGCATGGGGGTGTCGCGCATGCATTGCATTATGGGTTTGGGCATGCGATGACAAAAAGGTTAGCCATCACTGCCATAGAGATGGCGGAGGACCTTAGCCACTGATCCCTAGAAAATGGAGGTTTCCTAAGCCAGAAAGCCTTCTGTTTTATACTTTTAGCTCACCTTGAAATATTCCACAAGGCCTCGGCAGGTGATGTTATTTCCATTGATCTCCTTGACATCCAGGCTCTTGGGGCTCAATAGCCATGGAATCAGGATTTTCAAGTTTTTGATGAAATCATCATCAATTTCTGTAAGGGGAACATGAACCCTGTTGATGAGCGTGCCTTTTGTAATGTAAATACTAGAAATCCCAAGAACTCAGGAGACTCCAAAGTGAACCAATGATTGAGGATCTAAACCAAAATAATGAATTCTATACCAAAGTGTCCAAAATACTTTCTCCCAACTTAGGACACTTTCTGTCAACAAATTTTTAATTACGATCCATGAACAAGATATCAAGGCAGATATAACACAATGTCATTTATATGAACTTTTCCACAGTACCAATTGGGGATGAAAAGCTCAGGAGGACAATAGCAGACATTGCCTACTTCATTTGACTAAAGATGGTCAGTTTTATCAGGGTCAGATGGTCAACATAATAATAGAAGTTTGGACAATCAGAAGACAAATTGCTCATTAACGTATTTGCGAGAACGGTTTGGTTCATACATTGTGCTAGAATTAAACTACAGCATGCTAAAGGAGCTACAATGGCCAGGCTCAAAATAAACCATTAACCATGGTTTAACAAACCGAAACGGCTAAGTTGATTCAACAAGCAAAGCCAAAACCAAGCAGATCATATCGAACTTGTTGGCGCAGTGGTTAGAATGCAGTATTACAAGCTAACTCTGACCATAGACTGGAGCTCGATCCTGACCAGCTCAAGGTTTACTCACACCTTCATCCTTCTGACATTGGCAAAATGAGGACCCAGATTGATGGGGGCAATATGCCGGCACTGTAAACCTCCCAGAGAGTGCCGTAAAGCACTATGGAGCACTATATAAGTCTAAGTGCTAATGCAATGGGTGAGCCCAGCAAGCTACCATGCTCCTTTTGCCTAGTCTGGATTGTCTTCACTAGTATTTTATTGGTGGGCCTTCTGACATGATCTACTATCTATTACATCCTCCAAACTTTTACCTGAAGATGGCCATGACTGTTAGGATCACACAATTCTTTAAATATTAATCCTGGAGGGTTACAACTATCAGATCCCTGCCCATCTTAATGTTATACTGGGAATTAGGAGAGAACAATACCAACAAATACCAGTTCAAAGGTCCCCTCCTTCCCTGGACATTTTCATGGCATAGCCTGAGACATAGCATTTCTCCAAACAACTTGGCAGACTCTTATTTTCCTCCAAAAGCCGTTGAAATCTCTATCGCAATAATGTCACTTTATTACTAGATGGGCCCCTTTTGCAACCCTTAGCGTGAAAAATATTTATCAACAAATGTGTCTCTTAGGCCAACAGAATTTACTGCCTTTGCAAAACCTGGCTTGATGCCCATGAGCCCAGAGGCCAGTTAGAATGGCCCAATCAGAAACCTAATTCAATCACGAAATAAACCTTGTCCCTATATGATACTGCTGAGTTGTTCTCCTCTTCTGTGTAGAGGTCATAGTTTTCCCTTAAGGAATAATCTCTAATCGTGTTGAAGGTATCTGAATGGGTAAAGAGAAATTCTCTCAATCAGGCAATCAGAAGAGTACAAATTATCTGAGGAATTGTCTCACCCCAATGGAATGGGCTCGCCCAGCGGTGGGTTTCACATTTTGTTACCACCGGTTAGACACCCACCCGGGTGCTCACATGCTCCAGAGGTGCATGCGCCCCTTCCGCACATTCACCCTGCCTTCTGTGTGCGTGCTTTGCGCGCACGTGCACTTTCCGCGCAGGCGCCCAGACTCAAAAACATGCCTAAATAGGATAGCATAGAGCCGGGATAGTGGGCAGAGCACCCGTGATTTCTGCTACTGGTTCGGATGAACCAGTCTGAACCAGCTGAATACCACCTCTGGGCTTGCCCCACCTGCCCCTACAGAAGAGGCCTCCATTAGACCCCATTGGCCTTCTCTGCTGTGACCTCTGGAACATCCTGCCACCAGAAGTATGATCCATCTCTTTTATGTCCTTTCAGAAG